CACTCTTCCTAATGCACCCCAGGATCCCATTGGCCTTCTTGGCAGCCAGGGCACACTGCTGGCTCATGGTCAACCTGTCGTCCACCAGGACACCCAAGTCCCTCTCCACAGAGCTGTTCTCCAGCAGGTCCGCCCCAAGCTTGTACTGGTTGTTCCTCCCCAGGTGCAGGACCCTGCACTTGCCCTTGTTGAACTTCATCAGGTTCGTCTGCACCCAACTGTCCAGGTCTTGCTGAATGGCAGCACAGCCTGCTGGTGTAACCTTGGTGCGCTGCGTCACACCTCTCCACCTCCGCTACCTCAGCTGTAAAGCAGAGAAGCAATAGCAATCAATTCTGCGGAACACTTGAGGTTACACCAATGAAAAGTGTTACCTGATGGTGTCACTTGTAACAAGCGTGGGCAGCAGGGCAGCTTGCTCTCACACGCAGCAGGGTTTATACAGCTGATTTCTTGAAAGCTTGGGAAGAAATGGAGCCTGCAGGTAGAAGAAAGAGGCCCAGACAGATGGAGTCCTTTCATCCTGGTTTCAGCTGGGACAGAGTTAATTTTCCTCCCAGTAGCTGCTGCGTTCTGGATGTAGTACAAGGAGAACGTTGGTAACACTCGTTTCAGTTGTTGCTAAGGAATCAAGGATTTTCTTCCACTTCCTCGTATTCAGCTGATGAGCCGGTGTGCGGGAGCTGGGAGGGAGCACAGCCAGGCAGCCAGCCCATGTCCGACATAGCCAGTGCCAGCCAGCTCCAAGACAGACCTGCTGCTGGCCAAGGCCAAGGCCAGCAGCGACAGTGGTAGCACCTCTGTGACAACGTATTTAAGGAGGGGAAAAAACCTGCTGTGGGACAGCAGTCAAGGGAGATGAGCAAGACCCTGTGAGAGCAACAACTCTGCAGACATGAAGGTCAGTGAAAAAGGGAGAAGTGCTCCAGATGCCAGAGCAGAGACTCCCCTGCAGCCCATGGAGAAGCCCACAGAGAAGCAGGCTGTTCCCCTGCAACCCATGGAGGCCCACGGTGGAGCAGATACCCACCTGCAGCCCACAGAAGACCCCACGCCAGAGCCGGTGGATGTGCCCAAAGAAAACTGTGACCCTGTGGGGAGCCCGCGCTGGGGCAGGCTTCTGACAGGACCCGTGGAGCAAGAGCAGCTGCGGCAGGTTTGCTGGCAGGGCTTGTGACTCTGTGGGAGACCCACACTGGAGCGGCCTGTTCCTGAAGAACTGCACCCCGTGGGAAGGACCCACGCTGGGGCAGTTTGTAAACTGTCTCCCATGGGAGGGAACCCACGCTGGAGCAGGGGAAGAGAGTGAGGAGGAAGGAGCTGCAGAGGCACTGTGTGATGAACTGACCATAACCCCCATTTCCCTGTCCCCCTGCGCTGCTCACGGGGAGGAGGCAGAGAATTTGGGAGTAGAGCTGAGCCCAGGAAGAAGGGAGGGGTGGGGGGAAGGTGTTTTAAGATTTAGTTTTTATTTCTCATTACCTTACTCTGATTTGATTGGCAATAAATCAAAATAATTTCCCCAAGTCGAGGCTGTTTTGCCCATGACAGTAACTGGCGAGTGATCTCTCCCCGCCCTTATCTCCCACCCAGGGGAGTGAGAGCGGCTTGGTGGGCACCTGGTATCCAGCCAGGGTCAACCCACCACAGAACCGAGAGCAGGGTACCTTGCATTAACTGCTCCCATTTCAGCGATTCTCCCACAGTCAAAACTGTTATTATGACGTCATGACTAAAGGGGTATCAGTCATTAACTAACGAGGTACTTTTGTATGATTTTCAGCCACTCCAAATGCAACAAGGAACATAAATCAACTGAAGCTGTAGGCACACAGCTCACTGAAGGCCTTTTGTGCACTAATGACTTCAGTTTTTTACTTGTGTTTTAGTTTTCCTTTCCTTACACACTCTACTAATTCCCTGAAGTTTGTCTTATGTTTATATGATCCTTTTTTTGCCTCTGAGTAATGTACGAGGTCTGATATTCCAAATGACAATGATTTGCACACACTTTTCCCTTTTTTTTTTTAAACTGGAAAGACGACAATCACAATCAAAAGCACTTTAAGTGTACAGATTCCTACAGGTTAAATTTATCCAGCTGGACCAATTAAGAAAAGCTAAATCCCAGTTAGTAACAGTTTAAAAACATGTTTGCCATTTCTGGAATAATAATTAGAGAAGAATTAAAATTTCTAGATGCTCTTCCTCTACATCTAATGAACGACACTAGAAGAAACTGCGACCTGTTAAACAGCTGGAAGTAAAACAATGTCATTAATTCTTCCACAGAAGCTACAAACCCCCCCCAACACAAAACCAAAATATCAAGAACAGCTACTTTAATGTACTATTTCAGAGAATATTTCCATGCTGAGTACTTACGCTAAAAACAACTTCTTATGCCAGATCCAAGACTGTCTGAAGTTATTAATATTCTGCCATCAGCTTCAAAGGGAACAAGATTTGCCTTGCAAAATACTCAGCAGAGCTGCAACTATTTACAGGCAACAATTTATGGCAGCTTTGGTTGCAACAGCTACAGAATTTAGAAAGACAATTAACTGTGTGAGTAAAGTGTTCTGGTAAGCACCCAACGCAAACGCTTTACATCTGAAGATAATTAACCCCAAAGTTCAAATGATCAGGTTGTAACATTCTATACAAAAAATGTTCCTCTGAGGAGAACGGGAGTGGGACATCTTTAATCTGCACCCAGCATACACATTTACCTATTACACATAAAAAGGCAATAAATTTTATACAGAAATTTATTGTGCAAGAATGATTTTTCATGCTCATTTACAATGAAATAATTAGTTTAACAAATAATCATGCCATTGCTTAATTTCAACACTAAGCAGAATATTTACATTCAAGTTTACGTGTCTGTTCAAGTTCCACATTTGGTATTTTCAGAATTAAGTACGAATGCATCTTCAGATCAAAGTTTGCATTTTTTATATCAAAATATCACTGCCTTTCAGACATTTACTGGAAATGACAAATTTCCTTTCTTTGCAGTACCCTCATTTCCCAGCTACTGTACTGGAAAAACAAACACACACACACCAACTTGTAGAAATCAGCACTACAAACATCCATCAATCTCCAATTAGCCAGGCGCATTTCCAACCTGTTCAACGGCAAGGAGTCTGTTCTACACCTCTGTGTAACTAACTTTTGGAAGACTGTTTTTTCCATCCTTGCAAGAGACGATGCCTTAAAAAAAATGAGTCTCAGGACCATTCTTTCACTGAATCTTACATATATATAAAAAAAAAAATCTGTTTGGTCAATATTGAACAGCTTATATAGCACCTAAAATACTCGGGAAGTTTGTTGTTGTTGGTTTTTGGGATTTTTTTAAAGACCACAGGGATGACTAGGAACACAGCATCATGGTCTGGCAACATTTTAAAAACAAAAAAAACCCAAAAAACCTACCCAAAACATCTGCTGTATAGTAATAACTTAAAAAAAAATCAGCAGTTCACAAACAGTTGAAAAATATTTTTAGCGTGCAGAAATTCAAGCTGTGATTTTTTTGGTGCTGCTTCTCCCTTTTCACGCTCCATGATCTAAGACAAGCTCAGCCTTTACCTCCCATTTGATTAGCCTGTGCACAAACCTCTCGCTCCTTTGGCAAACGCTGCTAATACAGGCTTCTCTGTTATCTCCCACCCACACTGACCCCTCTTATTTTTTTATATTGAGCTAAGAACCAGACAATACGATATGCAAACTCAGAGAGGGTTCTGAGCTATAACTTCTCATGGTCCTGTTAAACAGCTGAAAAATGTGACAGATTTTGTTTACTTTTACATTTCCACGTGATGCCTACTATTCTAATCCATACTTTCTTATCGTGCTTCATCTTCCATCTAGGTTTCAAAGGGGCCTGTAATTGTAACAAAAGCAACAGAGCATACCTGCTAACACGCTGCCCTGACTATCACATAAAATTAAAGGACAAAATATAGCGATTGTCTTGGATTTTGGCTATTAATGTAATGGGCAGATAATGATTTTGAAGATGCAAACCTAAACACTCCCACATTTTAAACAATCTTCATATTTGGCAGAGACTATTTCAGTTTTCCCGTCTTCACGTTGTGACATCTCCAGAACTTGTGGGTTGAGAAACAACCGTAGCAGGTTGTACTGGTAACATTTCTAACTCAGATTCACACACAAAGATGACTGCATCACCACTTACATTTATTAAACACTGGGCCTGAAAAAGAAGGACAAAACCCAGTTACTAAGCATTAAAGAAGTACATATTCTATGTTTACTTGTATCTGCCAGATGTAACTATGCAGACAGCAGAAAAGTCAACAGAGATCAGAGAAGGACAAATTATTAGAATTTATCAGTGAGGCAATCCCTGCTGTATTTCCTTTTACATCCACTCACTTGTGTGCTATCAAACATGTAGGTAGACTCTTACAAGACCACCACAAATGAAGTATCTGGATAGCTGTACTTCCTTTCACTATTGTTTTGGACATATTTCACGTACCAAAACAAGCATATTCAGCTGTCGCCTTTACTAATGAAGTTTTGTCCCTTTATGTACAAAACGGCGCATTTTACATTAGCAACTCCATGTAAAAAGGATGAAAATCCTAACATTGCAACACCAGAAAAGTTAAGCAAGTTAAGCACTACTATTCTCCTGTTTCCTGCAATTTACTCCATTCTAGTGAACGTGGTACTTTTACCCATTTGCGTATTTATGAAGCATATTGGTAATTTTGTGCTGAGGTGTTCAAGAATGCTCTTGGCCTCTTTATACAGACATTGTGATGAGAGATATAAAAGTGTAATGCAGACATGGCTCTATGATGTTCTTGTGTTTTAAACACATAAGATGTGTATTTGCGTCACACTGGTCACAACAGCACTGTTATTTTGTATAATAATTTACCTGATTTTTGTTTGGATTCTCCATAAAAACACACTGCTTCATTATGTATGAGACAACGGCATTCCCCCCTAAAGCTGCAACGTGAGCTCTCACCATCGCAAACACTTCAGCGATAAATGCATGGAGAAAACCACTGACACCACCCTCCTAAAATGGAGGGAAGAAAAAAAAAGAAAGAAGATTTGATGTAAGGTATTGCTACAAGATGCTGAATACTCATATTTTTCTCAGCTGCGTATTTCAGTGAATCCTAAATGGCATACTTTACAGACCTTAAAAGCTATTCACTGTTTAATGGGTCATAGTTGAAAATCAGACCAATAGAACTTGCTGTTTGAGTAAAAGAATCACAAGGCGGTTATTCATTTGTGACTGACATTCTTCGCAGTCAGTATATTACATACACTCCTATTTTTCAGACGTTCCCAGACCTCTGCAGGAACATGTAATCTTCAACTGACAGGTGAATAATGAGTTTTTCTTTCATCAGGAAGGAAGCTACCCATTTTTTTGAAAACTGGGAAGCAGCTAAAGAATAATTTCTACTGAGGATTAAAAGAGATTTAGACTTCGTGGAAATTACTTGTAAGGAGTGGCCATTACCTTTGGTCCCCGCAACTTCATGTATGCTAATGCCTGTCATTAGTTCTCAACATCCCCTAAAGAAATGATCCCTCAAAATACAAAGCAAGCAAGGGACAGAGCAGAGACGTAACAAGCAAGCTATTCCAGCTTTTTTTTCCCCTTGAAGCCCAAAAGAACTTCTAGCCATCCCGTTTCATTAAGTTTTTTGACTTGATGGTGCTTGTGAGGGATTTGTACTTCTTCAGTGCCAAGCCGATTAATTTAAATTGCTGTGAAAGGAGAAGGAAAACAATGAAGTATGTTTTTTTTTCTCTAGACAATCCTTATGAAATTTTTTTCTAGAAATCCTCATGCGAGCAACTACATGGGAGGGTGGGGAGGAAATCAACACACAAAAACCTGGCAGCCTACCAAAAAAATAAAAATCCACAGAAAGAAAATGATGAAAGAAACTAATGAAACAGAGCTCACTATTGGTTCAAAATATCTATAAAATTTCAAAATGAAAGTGAAAGGCACGACCACTAGACTTCCCAGATGTGTATGAGCCACTGGAGCAGAAGGAAGAGGCTGGCAGAAGAGGAGGCTAGCTAGGCTGAACTTCCAACAAAAACGGACTGCCCTCATATCTACTGGAAAAAGCATAACCAACCCTGGACAGACTCATAAAGACATCAGAAAATGTATCTTGGATGAAAATTAACAAACAAAAGCGTCAGTATAATTTCACCAATCCAAGCATAAAGCATGAATGAAGTCAACTGCAGCCAGAAATCAAAATTTCAATACCAGTTTCTTCTTGCTCATGAAATTTTGATTTTGTCCAAGTGCTTTAACCCAAGACCAATGGATAAACTGGGACTTAAAATTATCATTAATTTTCGAAGCACAGCATCTGGTATATACTTTGGCTTATGACAGCATTCATACTGCCTCAATATTCTGTAAACTACCATAAGCAAAATACAAAGCATTACAAACACAAATGCCACTAATTATTTTTTTCCGTAGAATCTGAAACACGTTGCTCGAGTTGGATATACTGACCACTCTGTTTCGACTCTTATAGCCTGAGGGCAATACTGCGCACCTGTGTTAAAACTGGTTTGTGACCCAACCTACGCAGCTGAAACGGATGGAAGTTAGCCGCCCTAGGTGTTCAAAATAGCACACAAACACTATCACAGCAACTTGACAACTATCCCAACTTCATGGAGGAGTTGAATCCATGCTTGAGCAACCTACCTCTGCTGAGATCTGCTATCACAGTTACCAAAGCTTGCTCATCAGCTATTTAATGTGTATGTACAGAAGCTGCAGTTAGTACAGAAATGTCACATAACCACTTCCCTGGTCATACCACATACACCCTTTTGACAATGCTGTCCTTTTCACATAGATTTCTCAAGTTAAAAGGGGCTGTAATTTGCAAGATCCAAACAAGACATTTGTTTTATCAAAGTTTCTCTAGAGAGTTTGCAACTTATTTTTAAGAAGGCTGATTATTTTTATCAATATCCCTACAAGTTATCAATGTGTAATCAGCAAGAAACAGCATACTCTTCAGCGCTGACAAAACACGCAAGGGGTACACTCTATTTCTGTGGCCAGAAACTGTAGCAGATGGACACAGCTACTTCCCAAAAGGATACGAAAATGATAAGGAAATGTGTCTTGGATTTTTGCATGCTCAGAGGAACATCTGTTGTCCAGATCCAGACAGGACATCGTTGTTTGAGTATCACTGGCTACACCCTCTAATCTACCTGTGAGATTATACACTCTGTGTGCTTTTTAGACGTTCATCCCACAGAGCTAGGTCACTGAGAATGCACAGAATGTAATATTAAAAATCAGCATAACAGTTACATATGGTATGGGAAATCTTGTGTTAACCAAAGAATTCTAAACTCCAAATACACTGTGAAAGTTCATCATCGAGCTTGCTAAATGAGAGGAGTGGATTTATTTTTTTTTTTTTCCTTTTCTTTTAAATCAATCTCAGTTTTGGGTTCAAATTATCCCAACTACCATTGCTGGTCAAAGACATATTTTTCCCCAAATAGTTCTGTCCAAGGACTCATTGGTTTAGTGTTATGTCCAAATTCAACACCAATGGCAATGGTTAAGCAACCCCTTCCTAACATTGCCAAACACTATGCTCTATGGCAGTGCAATGCAACTCACTCCTCATTCAGCACCTACCCTCAAGTGGCAAAAATTCTACCCCCTTGCTGTGCCATACCTCAACTCAAATCTCATCAGATATTTACCCTTGATTATTATAATTAATGAAAAGTGCTAACCCCTGATATACAGCTCACCTCACGCAAAGAAGTGGTTTCTCGTATAAAAAACATGTTGATTATCCCAAGATATTTGGTTATTTTTGCCCCAGGTAGAAAAGAAAGAGGTGTCATCTTAACGACTGAGACAGTAGAGTTGGTGCATGATGGAACTGAACGATGCCGTAAGTATCCCTCGGCCAATGGACTTGTTTTATCAAGTGAAGCAGCTAAAAAGATGGGGGAAAAAAGAACAGAAAGTAACTATCAAGTAAGATCAATCACTGTTTCTCAAAACACAAAAAATTCTTCTTTATGGTTTCCAAATAGCTTGGTGACAACATTCAGCTGCCTGTGATGCTCAGCCATATCATGTGAGAAAGGAAATTATCATGCAACGCATGCAAAAGGAGACAAAAAGCTGAAATGGAAATTATTTGGAAGAGTGGCATGCCTGCAAAGGAAAACATTGAGGCGAGTAGCTGCACATACAACAATCGGTTATAAAGTGAAGGTAAAGAAAAAAGTGCCAACATTTTGAAATATGTATTCTGCTGGAGGAATAAATTATAGGAAGTGTGAAAGTTGTTGTGTTTCCCCAGTGCAGCATTTTCCATTAAAACAGGTATTAATTTTGGCTAATTAAAGCAAGATAGTCAGACCTGTGGCCAAAGAACTACTGAAAAATAACTCACCACTTGCTAATTTAGTGACCATTCCCTTGACTGTCACCTTGGTGATTGCTTCCTGTTTCTCACCAAGAATTTTCCAAGATCATACATACACCTACATCCATGCAGTGTATGTTACATAATTAGTAGGCGTACACATTTATGAACAACTAATTTTTACTAAGCGAACAGAAATACTGTATTTTGCTTCTCACGACACTGGTTCATAAACCCTATATTAGCTTACAAAGACATTAACAATGTCGGCAGTTTTCACACTCAGGTATTCGTTCTACATGTGATCTGCAATGCTATCGCTGGGCAGGAAACTCCACTATTCACCACTGGGAAATCAGAGATATGCCTCAGATTATCATAACGTGGTAGAAACAGCCGCCTACTTGTCTTAATTGATCCGCGCCTTATGGTCTGAGCTTTCAGTTTAATGAGCTCTATCCAGCTGTTGCATCTGTCTGCAAAGGAACTGTAATCAATTGACGTTGCTGAAAACACAGACAGAAAAACAAAAGAAAAAACAAAGAAAAAAATATGGATGATGTCTCTTGCTCTTCTCAATGCTCCTTTTGAGGAAGCCATTATCTGTGTCAGAGAGAACAAACATCCCTTTCCAGGTCTGTTTAAAGGAAAAGTTACAGTATAGGTTTGGATTTGTCCAAACCAGTGTACCGATTTCTGGTGATGTCCCAGCTGTGAACCAACTGCCTGACTGGGACTTCATCACTGAAAAAACATGCAAATACAGTCATTAACGACTTATGCTAGATTATTTTTTTTTAATGTCATTTTAGGTATTAAGTTCTGGCTTCTTTATGTTTATTTAAGCCTTGTTTAATTTTAATTTTCATTGCTATTCTTTTCCTCACAAAGAACTGCTGATCACGATTTAAACTTCCTAACTATCTCACCCTACACACTGGTAAAAAAAAAGCTTTGGTGATGAGAATAAGAGTCACAAGCTGAAACAACACCTCAGTTTTAAACACAAATGAATTTTCCTTTCAAAACACTGTCCTCCTCCTCCCAGCATCCCCCCTCCAACACTCCCCTCCCCCATTATCATTACAATAAGAAGTAGAGTTGTTTCTGCTATGACTTTTGATAGTTGCAGGGGTATTTGTGTATCTTAAAAAAAACAAAAAGTTTTGCAAACACCATTTCTTCATTATCCTGAAGAAACGGAAGGAAGACATGCTAACTTCAAATTAAGACAAGCAAAAAAAAGCTCTCTCTCAGGAACTAATTTTCTGTCAGATAAAGTGGTATCAATATATCTGACAGAGACACACTGTTATTAACAAAACTGCCTTTTGTAATTAAAAAACACATCAAAATATTATGATCTTATTAAGCCACACCAGAGCATGCATTCTCAGTTAACTAGTAAACACTTCCTGGATTAAGACACATCCAAAAAGAGTATACCAATATCCCAAGAATGCTCATTCTGCTCTGGCATACGGCTAAACTAAGTAAACTCACCTCTCTGAGCAGCAGGAATACCTGTGTGGGAACTTGCACCCTCCAGGACTTCTAATGAGACAAAATGAATTCCATTCAGATAACATATGAGCAGAGTCATTTAGCACAGGATAACAGCTGCCTTCTTTTTTTAGAGCAAAGTAAGTTTTTTTAGAATAAAATATGAGAAAATATTTTGTATATATAGAATCATAGAAAGTTTTGGGTCGGAAGGGACCCCTAGAGGTCATCTAGTCCAACCCCCCCGCAGCGAGCAGGGACACTACTAACGAGATCAGGTCGCTCAGAGTCCTGTCCAAACTGGTCTTGAATGTTTCCAGGGATGGGGCCTCCACTACTTCTCTGGACAACCCGTTCCAGTGTTTCACCGCCCTCATTGTAAAGAATTTCCTCCTTATATCCAGCCTAAACCTACCCTGTTTTAGTTTAAAACCATTACCCCTCGTCCTGTCACTGCTGTCTCTACTAAAAAGATTGTCCCCACCTTTCCTATAGGCTCCCTTTAAGTACTGAAAGGCTGCAATCAGGTCTCCCCGCAGCCTTCTCTTCTCCAGGCTGAACAAGCCCAGCTCTCTCAGCCTGTCCTCATAGGAGAGGTGCTCCAGCCCTCGGATCATTTTTGTAGCCCTCCTTTGGACCTGCTCCAACAGTTCCATGTCCTTCTTGTGCTGAGGGCTCCAGAGCTGAACGCAGTACTCCAAATATACTATACTATGTACTTTATAGTACATATATGTACTTTATAGCACATAATAAACTGGTTCAAATAATAAACTGTACTAAATCTGTCTTGCAAATTCTATTATGGTTCTATTATGATCATTTACTAAAGACCATAAGGGTGTATATAAATATTTTTTAAATAACAATCCTACAGAAAAGTATGGGAGAAAAGGTATCAATATAATAAACAAGCTGCTAAGTAAATGTAACCACAATGAAACCTCTAGCCTATCTGAAGAAAAGACAGACTAAATTATCTAGTGTAAGGAACATCAAGAAAAGAGATCTCCGTGAACAGGCTACCCTCTGCTGGTCAGTGCTCATTCTACAAGTAGCACAGTCTACAGTGAAAGAGAAACGAGTCGGAAATTTCTGCATAGCTCCTCTTTTTGAAAATGACAGGTTAACATAATGTGACCAATTAAAAGTTCAGTACACACAAATGCACAAAAAAAAGAAAGAATACAAAGCAATAAGAATATTATTGCTGAAATGAAACAGACTTCTGAAAATACAAGTGAATGCGGTAGGTACTCTACACAACTTCTATAATGGGCAAAACAGGGAGCTCTAACATTTTAGTAAAAGAACATTCACAATAATTCACAGACACCAAATTTTCCTTCACTAGCCATTTTGGTGGGTAAATAATCCAACAACGGAGAAGAAAAGACTGCTGATTTCAGTGAATAACAACCTAATTTTCAGCAGAGTCATAGAAGAACTGTGACAACCGTTCTTGAAATTCAGCTCCCTCTCAGATGAAATAAAGCAGCTGTTTAACAGCTAAAAAGCGCTACACTGTACAAATTGTTTATTATGCAAGTTTAAGCTCCTTTCACTTCAAAAAAATTGCATGCGGTTTTGCTCAGCTAACAACCAGTATTTGCTAGATAAAGTTATTTCCCACCACGAAAACTGTAAGATTAATTATCTGAGGTTGACAATATATGGAGTTATTTTATATGGGTCATTTACAGAAGCAAAGCAATATGAGGCAAGCCTAACTATTAAGTAATTTGTAATTCTTCAGGTCAAATGACACCCAAAACCTAGCGTTTTGCAGTGTTTTCAAAGCTCTAAATTGAAAGATAGAACTACTACAGGAAATGTGCAAAAGAATATATACAGAATGACTACCCAACCCATCTTATGTGACACAAAAAAATTGCCTTTTGGAGTGAACATACCCATTATGCTTAGGTAGCAAAGAATATTTAAAGTATGTGAAAATACAGAGATTTCACAGCTACTGCAATAACGAAAGAGCAGGACTCAAATTCATTAAAAAACACTAGTTCAGCATTCGTCCTTTTAACTGACCTTTAGCTGGTGAGAACGGCTGAGAAGCAAGTGGATCAGAGGAAAGTTCCAATGGAAATTGTAGCTGTTCTTCATTGTCTGTAGACGCTTCAACAAAGAAAACATACTCAATTGATAATTAACCCCCAAATCAAGATTTGCCAGTAACAGTAAGCACTACAGATTCAAATTAGTCAGGTTGCACTGGAACAGATTTTTTTCAACATATGCATATAGCGATGCAGTTCTGTACGAACAGTTAGGTGTCTGACAATAAATCCAGCTGCAAAACTGAACAGAACCTGTGTTCCATTGAATAGGATTTGATTTTGTAGTTTCAGGGAAAAAAAAGTTAAGTCAATTCATGCATTTTAGATTTGATTCTGCAGTTGGATCCGAGTTATCTATACATTACAGTAAAAAGTAACATGATTTATTCCACACAAATGAAAACAATCTACTGCTACTATTTAAGAAGTAAGGTATAACTAATGTTTTAGAAACAGATAGCTCTGTTCTACCACCTAATCCTGTTCTTCAGAATGGAGTATCTTCAAAGTTCTGCCTAAATACCCTTGGCCAGATTGCATACATACATTTCTATCATAAGATAGCACTTCATTAGCAAGATGACATATGCAGACTGCAGTAGTCTCTTCTACTCCCTCCATAGTGCTATACGCTTCACTGATCTCCAAAAATATTACTGACCTACTTAAGATTTTTTTGGCGTTTTCTTTAAGTATTATAATTTATTTCCTGCCTTCTTGAAGTAAGGGCAAAATCTGCTACTTGTAAGAACATGCATTCTCTAATGACTTACAGCACGTTTCAAAACACAATGGAAACGTCGTCATCTGTTACACTAATTCTTTAGAGAAAAATATTCAAAGAAAGATGGTACATGGAGTAAGGAAACACCAAACACTTTTTTCATGTTACTCTAAGTTTGTTGACTACGTACAAGCAAATATCTAATACCTATTAAGTAAGTCACCCTGATGGAGATGACACATATGAACTCTAAAAAACTGTTATGACTTTATAATTTTATAGAACTTCCCCATAAAAATGTGTATATATAACAAATTAAAACGTAGACTCATTAGATACTGGGCAAAAAAACGGAAAGAAAAATATTATCTCTTATCTATACATGCCTCACAACACTTACCTCTTTGCTGTGATTTTTCTGTAGGGGCTTTGTTGGCTTGTAATGCCTGGTTTTTGTCAAATGTAATTGCAACAGCTGTGACTGCAATCTGCAAGTCAGAAATATATGGCATATTAGGTAACTTCATCTCTCATGCAATCTGCAAAAATCATTTTGCAAACAGGCCAGCTTATCCCAGAGAAAAATAATAAGGGAGGGGAAATAAAATAATCTAAGCAGACTTCTTAAATGACATAAGAAAAAGAATAATAAAAAAATCACTATCATTGTATTTGTAAGAGAGAAAGAGATGTTTAACTGATCACAAGAACGATGGTATACTTGTAAAGAAAACATTTTCTTCAAAAGCAATTATATCGCATCATCTTGAAATGGCAAGAAAAAAAATTAGACAATTACAATGACAGCATACTCAGAAAACTAATGTGCCATATTCCTGTAGTGTATGTGGTAACACCTTTTAATGGCTATCTAGTCAGGGCTTTTCTTTTCCTATCTCACTAAAAAGATGCACACCACTAAGACGCACTGTGCTCATGAAATGCCTTGTAGTCCCATGATTCTCAAAACTAGTGAACTCAACAGGTCAAATCTTTTTCTTCACTGCACGTTATGGCCTTAAGTTTTACTTCAGAATTCACCAGACATACTAGTAAATCAAATCCCAGCCTAGTTTACTCTGAGCAGCAAACGCTAACTAAAGGGCCCAAACTGGCATGCCTACACGCTGAAAGTCAAAAGAAGCAGTTTACTTACCTGAACTAACTCATCCTCTGGTAGAGCAACTGTAAAGTTGACATGACAAAGGCAGCAGGGAACCATCGACCGTAGTTTAAAATACAAGCTCTGTTGAAGACAAGACATTATTTGTGTTACTCTAAAAAACGTATGGCTTATTTCACAAAAAAGATCAAAACTCTTTTCATAGTAGAAATCATGTCATTATATTATTTTTTTCCTGAAGAAGAGTTACAGGTGTGAAAAGGCAGGACAGAATGCAATCTACTGTGTGGCAGTCTTTATACTTTTGTTTCTAGGGTATACTACCAAAGGACTCCTTCAGAGTCAAAAAGCTCTGGAAATCCTTAATATACTAGGAAAGCTGAACCTATTTTTAAAGCAGCTTAAAAACTAATTACAGACACTCTGTAGACTAATTCTGAAAAGTTATTATGAAGAAAATGTTATTTTCACCTTGCTTCCATTTGAACAATTCAAAAAATGTTTGAATTCAGATTCTTACCTTCAACAGATTCTCACAGAGATCATTAAAGTTCTTATTAAGTGTTTGATTTGTTAGGTTAATGTTGCTTAATCTGGATACTCTTACTGCTGTGAACATCTGAATTAGAAACAAACACAATTATTTTTTTTCCCAATACATGCCTGTATGTTATATTAAAAACAAAGCAAAACCACAAAGAAGGCATAACATGGTAACGTGGGGGAAAGGGGAGAGGGATGGAAAGAATATGAAAAAACTGTAGCAACAGGAAGTCAAGTGCTTATTGCTCATGGAATTTTACAAACAAAAGGCAAATCTTCTGTGAACTAATGCATATGAATTTGTGAAATAAGTGATTCAGCAAGATATGACATACTCTATGTTCTTTTTACTTGCTTCATAAAGGAATCATGCTACCTGCTGCATATTTTGTTTCTGCTGCTGAAAATTTTATGTTAATTGAGTACACTAACATAGGCAATAATGGAATGTCACATACAGATACAAATGCAATCCCATCAACCTGAGAGTATGCTGCAGGTGCAGTCATATTGTTTTCAGGTTTGAGCTGTGCCTGTGCAAAGCACAGTCTTACAATGTGTCAGTTAGGTGTAAAAGTCCACATAGATCTGTTTTAACTCCCTCTACATGAGACTGAATTGGTTTTACAAATATGACAAAAATGTTTAAACTTAATTATAAATGGAATTTTTCTCTACTCACCAGACTGGCTTTATCTAATTCTTACTTATCTTAACCTATTAATGTTATCATATTCAGTATCTCACACTAAAAAACAGTCTACAATTTGTTTCTTATAAGAGGCTTCAAAATCTAGTCAAGCTCTTAAAAATGGGCAAAATCTTAAAGTTCATATTTACTATAATTATTTTCTAATTTTTGCATTTTTGTATCAGGTTCTCTGTTACATTATGAAAACCGAAAAAAACACAAATTAACAGGTTCTCATACCCTATTTTTCTTACCAAAATATTACTTTTATTTCTAACACAAGAGTAGCCTTTTAATTAATCTTTCAAAATCAGTGATCTCTAATATATATTTAAATTATTACAGCATATTTCAACACAATTTGGAAGTTTTAATTTTTTTTGCAATAACCTTACTTGAATTTCTGGTGTCCAGTTATTTATACCAGGCATAATTTCTGTGTTGCAACTGTAAAAACCTGTAAAGAAAATATTAGGGGAAATCTATGTTGCACACTGAAATATAAAAATATTTTTAAAGCAACATGTGACTACTTCATGTTTAGCAAGTATCTTCTTTCATGTGTTTTTGAATATTGAATAATATACCAGAAATAAGACCAACATTCAGAACACAAACATAGCATGCGAAGAATACAACATAACACACTCAAGACACATGCTTTGTGTTATTCACACTGCAGGGAAAAAAATTGATAGGAAAGATGGAACTCATCACTTCTAAAACACTAACTCACTACAGAATCCTTATTCAAAACATTTCTTCACCCGCCAAAAAGCAAGGCCAGAAAAGTCATCATGCTGAGGAACATGAAAGAGGCTACAACAGCACGAAATGCAACAGTGAAGCTGCTCCCCATGGAGACTGGGTAACTCCTGCCATCTGACGGTAAGACTAACCGGTGAGACACGCTCCCCGACTGCTTCACAGAACCGCTCCTTGTGGGACCCACAAAACAAGCAACTCAGCCTAGCTGGGTCCTGAGCAGAGATGCCTTCCAAGAAGTTTTTTAGCTCTGATCAGAATATACTTAAGCATTGCTGTAAGAAGGGTAAACACCCAAAATCCACTACTACTCTGCCAAGTTTCTAATAGGCAAACTATGTACAAATGAGGAAACTTAGTAGAAAGGTGTGGTAGGAAAAGCTAAAAAGCTAACCTTTGACAGATAGCATAGAGATACTTCAAAGATACTGCCTCAACACTGAATGCAAACACGTAGCAGTTACTAACAGAGAATTGAAAAGACAGAAAAAGAATAAAGTATAATGACTAAAGAGCAGGGTAAGAGAAGTTCTAAACAGCAAACAGGCAATGCTGCAAATCTAAAGATAGAGCTAAACGAGTACAAAAGAGAAGATTCTGGTAGGGCCTATATAAATGAACTAAATAAGCTAGAAAAGAAATTGTGCAGCAGCTTGCAGAATGTATACATATTAACAGATTTTCTTTCAGAACATCAAACAGAAGTCTTGTTGAAGAGTCAAGTAAGATACAGAAAGAATATGCAGAGATGATAAAACGACAGTGGAACACATGCGCTTGTTTTCTTACATCAGTGTTCACCATGATAGTGGAGCTTTCCACAATAGTGGAAAACCAGTCTCTTGTTTATTTTCTATCAGAGAATCTGCCTTAAACAAAAGTGTCTGAAGGAGGTAGTGAACAAACAGGCAAATGGAAAAATATGGGTTCATATAAAAACAGGAAAGGCAAAATATTAAATAGCTGACTAATCAGCATTGAACTCTGATTTGAAACTGTCCCACTACCAGAGAAGAGGATTCTTTAATCTTGCGGTAGCGAGGTGCTTTTAGTGACTAGGAGTTACTAATGTGCCTAGTATAGATGTCTGTATTACTGTCCCATAGAAGCTATTCCAGAAAACGGAGTTCATGGACAGATGGAAAAACAAGACACTGCAGAGGAGCCGATACCACTTTTCTATGCAACAGTCATGGCTCACAAGCTGTCAACAAGCATGTAGAAAAAAGGCATCTGACGCAGTCTATTTCATACATCAAAAAGCATTTGGTAAGATGCTTCACCAAGGACTCTATAAAAAACTAATACACTGAAGTGTAGACCGGAGTACCACTGAAGGAAATACAATTATTGTAAGTCAGGAAAGAGAAGGTCAAAATAAATGCTCCATTTCCACAGTGGAGGCATTTGTAACTCAGGATTGTATGTTTCAAACACATCAATAACTTCTCTGCAAAAAAGCATAAAAGGAGGTGACTGCTGATGGCCTTATTGTAGGGTAGTGAAATCAACCGCAGCAGGACCTAAGAATGGATAACTGATACGGAATAAAAGATTTCGTAGTAATAATAGATAACTATCACAAGCATAGTTCTGAGCTCAACAGTACTCAATGATAAACACTGATACCAATTATTAGGAAGGGAACTGATTCAGAGGAAACATGAAGAAACTCAAAGGTAAGAGAGGGAGGACAAGCACAACCAAATGTACAGAGCAAGTTCCATCAATGGACAACCACCTTAGCCTCTTATGCAGACCGAGGAGGATATGACAAATATCTATACAACCACAGATAGCATAAAGATGACTGGTACAAAGCAATGATTCACTGTTCTTCCCAACAGAAGAAAAAGGAAGAAGTGGTTGATACAAGCCAAGCAAAAGAAGCTGGCTCTTCCATTAGTACAGATTCTTACGCAAAATTCTACGAACACTGAAGGCGCACATAGGCTCAAAATGCAACAGCCAAATGCACAGAAAGTTTGTCAAAGGCTACTGCTGACAAACACAGCAACTTTCTTCCAGGATGCTGCTGAAGTTGGCAAGTATTCTGTGGGATTTCCCCCCACCCTCACTCTTACATCAATGCAATACGCATTCTCGCCTGACCCCTACCAGCAAGAAGACATCAAGTGATTCAGTACACTTCCCCCTATGTTGGGGTCTTAAATAATTTTTTAATGCAGACAACTAAACGGACACCTCAAAGTTCTACTGCCAGCAATGTACCCCCAACATTCGTACACGTACTGTGAATTAACAAGACCTAGATTTCAAGTCTCATGATTGAACTTTGAAAATTATTCACTATAATCAGTTTTATGTTCTCAAATTGGAACACTTTTTCAAAGTACACCTACAAAAAACACTGAAGAAACTAGAAACTATTTCTATTATTTGACTTTACTGCCTTCTACAGAAAAAGACCAATACTGACTTGGCTTAGTGAATTGTTTTTCACAGGTATATCTGACAAGCTGAACGCTTCAAGAATATTTTCATTGTTTTCAGTGTCACTACTGAACTTTTTTTTTTTTTTAATAAAACAAGTTCTATTTTGTCATTTTGCACCCAAAAGTATAAATTAGAATAATTTTAACTATACCAGAAGGTGGTGGAACATCCGTTAGTAAAGAATGTACATCTTCCATTGCATCTGTATCATCAATCTGGAAAAATGAACAATTGATGAAAATCATGTTGCTTTTCCAGTCAGAAGTCTCAGAAATATGTAAAAACTTTGTCATCAGGACATCTGTATCTGACAGCTAAGCTGAGATTTTAAAAAAGGATTCCATCAACCACACTTCCGAATCTTAACTAGCAGCCTATGAAATGGTTAACACTTCAAAAACAGTCCCCTTAAAAAGTATTAAAAATAAAGCAATGTGCACAGAACTGACAGAAAATGCAGGAAGACAAGAATAATAAAAAGAGGAATTTTAGAGCAGTTTAAAATGCCGAACAAGGTTCCACGCAACAACTTGCAACTTCTTCCAGCTAAGGACCTTTGGCTATTAGAGCTCTCAGAAGGTCTGCGTTATACTGATGTGATCATTCTCTGCCTACTCTAATGACACAAAAATCTCTTCTATGACTTTAAAAACCTTGCTTAGTTTGAACAGCAGAAAATTGAACAGCAAAAGATAAATTTGGGGATTATTAGTTTTTCCTATCCAAATAGCCTCTACCCCATCTAACCTTTGAAGACTTTCATTATTTTAGATCAGACTGAGAGTATATCTACCCTGCTATCTTTTGTAAATATTTCTGTCATGTGTCTTTGGGTTCATTCTGCCTTATTGATCTGCAAGAGATCCAACTTTATCTTCCTTATCAGGTATTTTGGAAATTGTTTCTATTTTAACTGCAGTATTAAAGGACTCTGTCAGGTATTGTTTCTCCTTCTCCCTCTCAAAGTAAGAGGAGGAGTCTTTTTTTCCTCACCAAAAAAAAGAAGCGACAGTTTTAGTCCTCATAATTGCCTTCCCAGCACCTCTTGGCATTTCCTCATCACAGTGAATGTTTTACCAATTTTTCTTACATATTTCCAGTAAACAATTATTTTATCTTTGAAAGGTCAGTCATGAGCTTCACTAAAGCTCCTGGAATATTATTTCTGGTATCAAATTTCTTAACAAAGACAGTAATAAGTGGTTCCAAAGATGAAAAGTCTTTTTTCTATAAAGACTGAACTACCAAAACACAGGGATGCATACTCTAGGACCACCACACTCACATAATGTAAACCAGTAAACGATGGTCCTTAAACATCAGATCTTATTTTTCTTGCTAACTTTAGCACCATTTATAATGTACTCTATAGTACACTGCAGTGTACTTAGATTTTTCCCTTACACAGAGAGCTCCTCCCATCCCAAGTGCATACACTACAGTTAGTAAGGCACAAGGAAGAATACTCCAGAACTGTAAAAAAAAAAAAAAAACAAACACAGCTGAACTCTGCTTGCAGTATATAATGCAGTCCTTAACCATCTGATCTTTGTTTATAACATATCAGGCTCCTTTATGAGGCAACTAGACAGAATAAGTACGTCAAGCTCTTATTATTGCCATCTCTCTTCTATTTGACACCCTTTAGAAGTGAAATGAAGGCTGGGCTTATGTTTTTCAGGTATTTTTCATAACTTGTCCAAAGGGTCTCTTGCAGCAACAGTTTTTAGGTTGGTGGTATTTTATGCCTTACACAACCCTCTGTATTTTACAAAAGTATTCAACCCTCTTTGCATTTATCAAAGTATTTTCTGACTGGCTCATTCATTTCAATGCAGTGCCTCAGAGAGCAGCTATTTTAAGTTTTGCTTCGAGACACAATTCCAACCCTGTCAGTCTACATAGATGATGATATTAAAGCAAAAACCTGCTAAGACCAGCTGCAAAAAATACTTGATGAAAACTGTCCTCATTGCTTTTTGATGTGAGAGTTAACTAGCATCAAAGTTACTTCTAGGGACTTCCCGATTTACTTACTTTGATCCTAGCACATCTGTAATGCACTGGAGAGCAAAAATTTACTCGGAGAGCAGAAGCACCAACCAATCTCAATTTCTTATACCAATCTCTCCCAACCTGTTCTTTTTTCACTTCCCTTTCTTACCTCCGTTTTCAAACGAACTGTTGTTACAGAGCTCTCTCATTCTCCCTATTTACAACTTTTCTTCTAGATTATTTTCTATGAAGACAGTGATTGGCAAAGATTAACGTAAAGCAAAGTCTTGAATGTACCTCAGGCTGCAATTACAGGCTGTAACTTAATTAAATTGTTTTCTTTTTCTTAGTCTAGGACAGGTATTTGTAATACCTGTATGTACAAGATGATGATCAAAACTCTAGTCTTCTTTACTACTTGGCTCCTTTCCTTCAAAATCGTACAATGTTAAAATCATATCTTCGAATTTTAGTGAAAAGATAGGTTAAAGAAAGCTATGTTCTTTATCTATCGGTGTTGTTCGTTTGCTGTAGAAAGAACTGGAAGGTATTCTCTGAAGTTGTAAATTCTTGAACTCTGAAAACTTTCAGCTGAAATTCAGAATAGCAAGTCGTCTTTGATGTACTCTCTTGACACGTGGGTTTTTGAACGCTTTGAATGCTACCTGTTCTGGAAACTAATAATTCTGAATATCCAACAAGAAGAACTTTGAAATGGGAAGAATATACAGGCTTTTTCTTTGCTAAATACAAAGTGTGACAATGCAGAACGTCAATGTTTACAAAAACTGTATCCAAGCTTGTATCAGTCATGACTGCTGCCTGAAGTAGGCAGAACGGCATTTCTTCACAGCTCTTAGTTACTATTCTAGATATTGCTACATATTTATGAATAGCAGGGCAGTCTTTTTTCAGCTGCTGTCCTTAGGCATAATATAGCTATGCTTTAAGCAAACAGAGTAAGAAAAAGAGACAATGCAAAATCCAATACTTAAGATTTTCTACTGATACAAAATGAAAAAAATTTTATACACTTTAAGAACTGTCTTTGGAGATGAGCAAGAAAACTTTTCTCCATTTTTTCACATGTATTTCAGGAAAAGAGAAGTATGAAAATGAGTACTGCAAACGTTTATCACCTCCAAGACAAAAGCATCCTTCTTCCCATGTGAAAGGTCTAGCTCTGTAACTTCATCAGAGCTTTCTGACTGAGATCTTAACAACCTGGAACGCTGTCTTGGCTCTGGAATGGGAGACCCAATGATTTCTTCAGGTAGCTCCTAAAAAGGATATAAAAATGAAGATTTATTCTGTGTAGTCTAGAAATAATATCCGTTACAAGCAATTTGTTAACAGTTCTAAGAATCAGAACATTCTGAAAATAATTTCACTGAGTAATAAATGTAAAGAAGTACAAACTCATTTGGATATGTGGCTTAAGAGATCTGAAAATTCCAGTAGGTTCCCAAAATATAGTGAAAAGAATCTGTATCTCTATTAAAAAAAAAATTCTGTTCCGAATGATTTAGTCAGTAAGAATTCATGGATACACATGGTGTATATCTGTTCAACTCAGAATGCTTTATTTTTAAGAATAAAAAAGCTTTACTTACTGGAGGATTAATCTCATAAAGTTCCTTGTTTTTTGCTATTGTATCATTTATTTTCTTTTGCATGTGAGATATATGCTGCTCATAGGTGCCATCATTTGGAGTCTTCCCAGCAATCTGAATACCACCAGGTGTTGGCAAAGCTGCTAGGTACACACCTGTTGCAGACTTTTAAAAAGGCATTAAGAAAAAGTACAATTACATAAGCACATACTACTTTCATACAAAGTTTTCCATAACGCTTGTTATAATGGACAGCATTGTGACATGCACATTATAGCATGATCTCTTCCCATAATAAATGGGTATCTGTCTCCTGTTCACTTACGAAAAAAATCAGTATTCTTTTAATAAACTGTCTCCTTCTCATGGGTCTCTTCCATGGTGCAGCTCTTAACTTACCTAGAAGTTCCAAACGAAGTATGAATTACAACCTCTGCTCCAGTATACTATGCATATGCAAGTGATGGTTTCAAGGATTTAAAATCTGATCAAGCCCTCTACAGTACCACCGAAGCTGTGACAATCCCATTTCTATTTACAGACAAAAGAACATGGGAGCCAGTCAATGTTGCCCAAGCATCCTCTTACACTGATGCAAGAAGCAGCAGCACATCTCACTATGCTAACCCCACAGGACAGAATGAGGTTAGAAAATGTTAATGAACATTTCTTGACTATCTCTAAGACATTTCCAATCTATCGCTTACTTCTTTAGTGCCATCAAAGAAGCAGCGACAGACTTCTCTCTTGTTGGCAACTAACCAAAAGATTTATTGAGAGACTTATGGAACCTTAAAGCAACTTAAGGAACAGGTATCTCTGACATGATCTTTAAAGAACTTAATCACTTTTTCTACAATTTATGCCATTAAGCCATTTAAAGTTTCTTTTCTTCTCGTCCCTTCTAATAATGGTATCCTCTAACAGAGTTTCAAGAGATTTGAATCTTCTTTTTCTGGTGCTGAAAGACAGTCTGTCCTGATTTATCAACAATTAGACACCTCATTCCTTTCCATCACTTCATTTATTCTTAAAATGACACGTTAATATCTCTAGTTACTCTGAACGCCACAACACTTGTGTATCTTTGTGTCCTGAGAAAAATACTGTAAGAAAGGCAAAAGAATTCCAAGATTAAAACTGTACTTACTGCCAACCCCATGAGCATATTTTCACCCACAGTGATCTGAATTCTCAGCCCAAACAGAGCATTCATTCCTCTCAGCTTAAGTTTATTCATCAGTTGGGTGTGTACTTCATATTCCATAAATGGCAAGAGATTACTGATAGACGTCGCATTTGCTTCAGCTTGAGCTTTCTTCTTTAGACGGCATAACCTGACAACATGAAACAGTACATGACATCAGCAGATCAACAGTTTTAATGGACTTTTGAAGACTGAAAGTGATCACAAGGGTATTTTGATTTTTTTTTTTCCTCATGGTATAACCTAATATAGATCGGTTTCTTTTTAATGTATTTTAAAATTCTGTAAAATACTAAATTCTCATCAGAAATATCAAGGTAGACTGAGGCACCAAGTCTCAATAAGCAAAATTGTCTTCCGTTTTTAATAGGAAACTGTATTAACAATAAAAATGGGTAACACAGAAAGTAAACTTACAAAACAGAACAATACATAACCTTTAGCAACATTCAAAAATATTCCCTAGCAGAGCAGAATACAAAAATTACCAATACACAAACATCTATTTCTGTTGCTGCAAACCTCTTAAAACACTTCAGGTACAGGCACAGGAAATTACATCTACTGGCAGAACTTCTAAGTTTCTATTAATACAGTCATTCAAGGCACACTTTGGAATAAAGAAAAAACCCTAGTGCCTGGACAGCTCAGGCTTTGACCAGACTAAAAATACTTATCTTAAAAGAACAAAAGAAAGAGCATACAAATCTCATCTCTGACTATGTTATGTTAGTCATATTCCACTCTGGGTTTAGTCCCGTAAGTTGAAATTCAAACCAAAGACCAGTGTAATGACTACCTACTTTCAGTCACAAATTTTCATTCAAAAAGAGCACATGACAACTGTACATTTTAGTGATAAGAACAGACAACACCTTCTAAGGACCATTTATTATATGATCAGGAAGAGACAGTAATTCACCTAATCATAACAAGTTCACCCCAAAATCTTTATAACTATAGCTTGTGGTCTTTTCCTTTTTTCATTTTTTCTAGGGGGTGGGAACGTTTGAGGAATCATTCTAGAGAACAGGACATCTGCAAGCACTCCAGAGACAGATTAAGGACCACACTGTGACACTAGAAGTCAGTTTCCACAATGGTGCTGAACACGGTTTAGTAATACGCAAAATACCAAAGGAGGAGCACAGAACACATCTCTACAGCATCTCCAGTAATTCTGCTCTAGCAGAAGTCAGAGAACAATAATTGTAGCATCATAAAAAAATCTCAGGTGAGAAGGGACTTCAGGAGGTCTCCAGTCCAACCTCCTGTACATACAAAGCGGTAAACTTTGAGCTTGGACCAGGATGCTCACAGCTTTATCCAGTCAGGTCCTGAAAACTCACCAAAGATGGAGACTGCACAACCTCTCAGGCAATCTGCTCTACTGCCTGATTGTCCTCATGGGTAAGCAGTTTTTCCTTATAGTCACTCTGAACCTCTGTTGCTTCAACTTAGGCCATCTCTCACTCTCCCGTCGGGCAGCACTGTGAAGATCCTGGTTATATCTGCTCCATAACCTCTTTACAGGTACTGGCAGGCTGCTGTTGGGTCCCCCTGAATCATTCCTCTCTCCAGAATGAAAAAGTCCAGCACTCGCAGCTTCTCTTCATAGGGCAGGTGCTCGTTACTCCCTTGGTGGCCCTCCACTGAACTTGCTCTAGTTTTCTGATGTCTGTCTCCCCCTCAGAGGAGGGCAAAACTGGACAGATACCGTATTGTCTGGTCCCACTGACTGTGGTGTAACTAGAAAACTTGAAGAGAATGCAGTTCATCATCCCCCTCCACATCACTAACATGTTCAACTGGACAGGTCCCCCTGCAGACTCTATTACATTTGTCATGGCCATCCACGTAGGTTATGAACCACAAACCATTACCCACTCAGCCCAACTATCCAACCAGTTATTTATCCATGTAGTTGGCCACCCATGCCAACTGTACATAGCCAACCCTTCCTTCTTTCCCACTGTAAACCACCTTACTCCCTTTTCCAAATTCAAATTCAAAGACCACAGCAGAAACTGGACATAGCCAGCAATTCTACAGAGATATGTTCAGTTATGGACATCAGCACAGAATTAATACACCTCACTCAAACTGTTCATTTAGTTTCCAGTGCAATAGCTGTGTCTGACCATGTTAGCAGTCCCAAACAGCAAGTTAAAGCATGAAAACTCTTACATCCAGGCAGACAAAAATACAGCAATTCCCATATGCATTAAAAAAAAAAAAAGCGGAACATTTACCAAATGTCCATCAACATGGATAAGTTACCAGATGTTCATCAACAGACATGACACATAACACAGAGAGAGGAGGCTGTCTTTCTCCTTCTGTACCCTAATACACTGTCATTAACTCCCAGCAATTCAACATAAAAATTTAAGCTTTGATGACATACTGGATTTTACAACATCAATTCTTTCAAAGATCTCCAAAACTCTACTAAGAAAACATTTTCATAGATACCTGGCTTGAATAAGACATCCCTTCCCAATAACTATTGCCTCTACAGGAAGATCAATTGTGGTGAAAAGGACATCAGGAACTTTTTGCTTCCTGCAGTTGTAACAATAAGTGAGGTGAGCAGGGAACGGCATGTTCAGTTCATCATATGGTATATGGCAAAATCCACAACCTGGTGGTGAAGCTTCTTCAATCCTAAAAATACATTATGAAGAACATACTTTAAAACATCTGCATCTTATTAACAATGATCAGTATGTGCACATGTGTATAAACACCTACAGATACCTACTTCAATCATACACTGCAGCTATACTCTGCTCCATTATACCAATGTGACAAGTATTGCATTTTATGAATTAGAAGAATAAAATTAGGCTGCACACTAGTAGCTAAAATGCTATAAATAAAACTTGCATTGAAACTTGTTATGCAGGAATCAAGAAAAAGTACATATAATGACCAACAATTTCTATAAACCTAAAGCATTACTGAGCTGGCTTTAGCCACTATTTCTAAATGTAGTCCGTGGTACAACAGTTGTACAGAGAATTTGCTGTACCAAATACAATGAAAAGTCTCTTTTACATGGATTGTATCCAAAAACCTACATAAACCTAATGAGCAGAACATAAAACACCAAACCAACCATCCTACTGAGAAGCAGCACAATATATATTAACACTGTAAGAAGAATAGCAAGATTATTTCCTCAAATAAGGTATTAGCTAAAACGTGTTATTCACTTAGAACACTCAGTCCCACTCCACCATTAAGAAATATCCAGGAATGACCACTATAAAAATACAAACAAGGAAAGCACAGGCTAGCTGCAACACTGCAAAGTTAATCTGTTTCACATAAGCAATTCTTCTCAGTGAATTCTGAAGAGATGCTTAAGCAAATCTGACATATTTGGAACATTAGTTATCCTAGACTTTGGCAAATATATTTTGTCTCAAACATGGGCTTTGTCCGTTTAGGTGCTTCGCTTTCCTTTGGCATTTCTAATCTATGCCAAGATTCTTAGTAGCATCAAAATACATATTTTGATAAAAATGCAATTTCCTTCATATTATGAACATGCCATTTCTTTTGATGACATTGTGAATATGGAAACAAATGTTCTGGCTACAGTTTTCAAAAGTCTACATAAGAATAGAAAAACGCCTTCTACGCAACAAGGCAATGGCTTCCTGCTAACAAAGTAAAAGAATAACCAAAAATACTATGTTGGCAGGGTTATTACGGAAAAAGTAATGCAAGTTCTAAGGTGTAACAAATAGCCTTATAACTACGATAATCCCTTGCAATCTTTCATGACTATCCTGATAAACACATAATAAATTACCAATATGCATTAGTTAATCTAAAAATTTCCCCCCCCACTATAACTGTTTGTCAATACTCATTCTTCAGATTTTATCTGCAAGAGTAGGAACAAAGCGAAACTTCATGTTTTTCCTTCAGTTTCATTATCTTGTTCATAAATTTCAACTGAAATATACATCTTCTGTAAAAATGTGGCACCTTCTTTGTTTTATAACCAAGCTATTTTATCTCCCATACAGCTGTTAAATAGTATATATAGAGCATATGTACACCTAGTACAGCCACAGCAGGGTTTTTCTTACATAACTTATTATACATCTGTCATTTTTTATAGTGGGATATAAAATTGAGAAAGATACCTGAAGAGCGGCAAAGAAAAAAAACTGAGTTATGATCTGTGGTTAGTAGTCAAAGGCGTTACCTTATTCAGACTGTTAGAAATAAAAACAGAATATCTAATTTGGTGCAGAGTTCCATTACTTCTGTTGTTGTTGTTGTTAGTGAAAAGCAGTAAAGTGGTTGGTCCCGCATCCTGTACTGTAACACTGTAACCTACCCTAATAGAGAAGAACTATCTTGGCTCTGAGGAAAAAAATCAACCTCTCCCTTCTCTGACCCTATGGAAAAGAAGCCAGGCTGCCATGACAACCTTTGTTCCAAACAGCCTTCCATGGTGCCATCCTGAAGAAACCTAGGGTTCAGTACAGCTGCTGTGCCAGACGCGGACAAAATACAGACCTCTTCACTATAAGAGAAAAGAATTACAACAAAGTGAATTCCTTCTACTTCGTGCTACTTTTATTTAAAACTATCAGATTAAAAGGCTGGTACAAAAGTCTCAAAGAATTCAATAAAACTACTAATTTTGTGCATTTGTGCAATTTTATCCATTAAATCTCACAAACAATCCTCTTCTGGTATTTAAACCATTATGTAAGGGATGCAGAAGGATTGAGCTGAAAGACTGTAGAGCATTGCCCCACGTTATAAATAATATGCTATAACACCACAAAGGCTAACAAGGTTTTAATATGCTATAACACCACAAAGGCTAACAAGGTTTAAGTATGGTTTTCAATACTATGGTTAATAATGCAAAGAAATCCAGTCAACCAAAAAAGCAGAGAAACATGTAACAAACCAAGGCATAATTGTTTACCAAAGTAAAACAGAAGCTGAGAGCCTCATCATCTTATAAACATTCTCAAAATGAAGTTATAACACAGCACTGACAGGGGTGCTTCTTGGAGGACAAAAAGTAGCAAAACAGTAAAATCTGACTATGAACAACTACAATAATGGTATATACAGCATGTAAAGTAACTGACAATATTAATATTAAAGCTCTCAGAAGTGCAAACTATGATCTCAGAGCTTTTAATATTTCTGAAATTGTTAAGTAAGCAAATCTCTAATATTCAGTACTTAAAATACTATATTGGAAAAAATACAGAAAAAAAGCTTTCCCACATTTTCTAGAATGATACACGTGCCTTTTTGATTTGTTATTTCTCTTTCCAGAATATTTTTTCATATATAACATCTGGCAGACCAGTACTTACAGACAGAGCCTTGCTCTTTAAGCATGGAATAAAGCTGAACTGGCAAGCAAGCATGGGAACTCTAATCAACTATTTTATCAATGATCAAATACTACCACATTAAATTCCTTAAGAAAAATGAAAGTAGGAAATAACCCAGTAACTGACTGCCCATCTATACTCTGTACAC